CTACCACGCTTGGGGCATCACGCGGCACGCCTCCCGCACGGCGATGAAGCACGCGGCGCCGACCGTCGACTTGTGGGCTCGCTTCCCCGGCGTCGCGGGCTGCCAGGTCAAGATGCTCAACGGGCTCGACTGCGGCGCCCTGCCCCCTTCGCGTGGCGCTCAGGCCTTGCTCGCGCGCGCCATTCGATTGCTCCGCTCCGACGCGTTCGTCTTTGTCGGACTCGTGGAGCGGTGGCGCGAGTCGGTCTGTTTGCTGCACGCATCGCTCGGCCGAGGCACGGCGCCCGTCGAGGGCGAGATGCAGTCGCTCGGCCACTCCCGCAACTCGGACGCGCGCCGCGGCGGCGGCGGCTGCCGGCTCAAGGACAAGGACGGGGTCTGCTACGGATCGGCAGGACGGGGGTACAACGCGTCGGTGCTGCGCGGCTTCCGCGACGAGCTCGACGAGCCGCTCTACGCGGCGGCAGAGGAGGAGTTTGAGAGGCGGCTGCGCCTCCACCGGGTGGCGGGCGGGCCGGCGGGCGTCGCGGCGGACGTTGCGGCGGGCGCTGCGACGGGCGGGGCTTTGGGCGGGGCGGCGAAAGCGGCGCCCGGGAAGGGGTTGCGTTTTCGGTCCGGAGGGCGCGCAAGGCGATTTGCCAACAGATCCAAGAGAGGGGTGGCGCTGACCTTGGCGGCCCAGCGAAGGGCTCCCCAAGCCGCCGGTAAGGAGAGCCAGGAGGAGGTATCTCGGATGTGAACTCGCGCAGCCGAGAAACGAGGACAACCGATGCATGTCCTCGTGTCCTGTTGCAGTGTCCTGTCATAAAATACAGTGTTCACATCCCACAAGTTTGCAACCCAATCTGAGCCCTGGCTGTCACGTGACACTGTCAGGCTGTTGGCTGTCAGGTGCTGTCAGGTGATCTGTCAGGCTGTCAGGCACTTCAGGCACTGTCAGGTGCCTCTGTCAGACCAGCTGTCAGGTGCTGTCACGTGTCAGTGCTGTCGGGTGCTGTCGGGTGCTTGTCTGACATCAGAGGGCTCTGACACACTATCCACACTTATGACATTATCAAGAGGAGACCAGCAGGACTCTACTAAACATACTCTAGTCGTCTCTACTCTGCCTAGAAGGGGTCCGCCTGGGCGCTGGGGAGCGCAGACTGGCCCACCCGGGCCGCAGATGTGTGGCGGCGCAGGCGCAGGCGGCGGCGCCCCGGCAGCGCGGCACAGACGGCGGCGGCCACCCCCACCCAGACGCCGTAGGCATATGACTGTAGGGCCCCAGAAGGCTAGCTGGTAGCTTCATTTGTAGTAGCACAGCCGCCGGTGCTAGAGAGGGGTCCGCAGAGGTGGGGCGGGAGGGACGGAGGGTTGAGAGAGAGACCCATGACTACATGGACCACACTCACATGTCTTTGCATGTAATAGTTTGTTATACCCTCATGGGGCGCAAGAAAGAGGCTGCACGGCCTGTGTACGGTCTGTGCTGCTCAGGTGCTGCTGTCGGGCTGGTCGGGCTGTCGGGCTCTCAAGGAGCGCTGCTGTCAGGCCACTGTGTGCTGTTGGGCTGTCAGGCAGCTGTCAGGCTGTCACGTTAGGGCCTGACAGCGACGGAGCCCCTCTGATGTCAGACTCTGCTGTCAGGCTGTCAGATACGTGCTGTCAGACTGTCAGAGAAAGGCTAGTTCCATTTCACTGTGGCACAGCTCGCGTTACAAACCTTGATTTGACCATTTGCGCAAAAAGGTACATCTCGGTGCCTTCCAGAGGCAGCTGCCACCCCGCCGAGTGGACGGGCGCACACAGCAGGTGGCGCGGTGTGCGCCCGTCCACTCAGCGGGGTCGCAGCTGCCTCTGCGCGTCCTGTGGATGTACCTTTGTTGCGCGCCGGAGACGACTCGACGCCGCTGAGATTGGAGATCAAGCTCTGACAAGTCACCTGTCGCTCCGTTGACGCCGACGTGACTCACCCGTGCAGATCACATCATGACACGGTCTCGACGCGCTCGGTACGACGCCTGCGACCCGTCTTGGGTCAGGTGGCACGACGCTCATCGCGCCTACCAGCGCTGCCGTACAGGTTGCCACGACGAGGTCGAGCACGCTTCTATACGCTCGCCCAGCCTTCCTTTCCATCCCATTAGGCAGCCTGGGAACGGTGGCGGTCAGAGGCAAAGCCTGCGAGGGGTGGTGGAACCACATGTCACGGCTACTGCCGGCTCGACCCCCCACGATAGCCTCCGGAGGCTGACTTTGCGGCACCATCATCGGACGACGTCGGCGAGTTGAGTCGCTCTCGCGGTAGCCAGATGACCTCTCATACTAGTATCATCGGCCATGGCCGCAGGAAGCGCGGGGGATTCCGCTGGGAGCAACACGGAGCTCCGTTGGACGCGTTTTCAAGATTAGCGTGTCAGAGTGAATTGGAAGGCCGACTACACGGTAAGGCATACGGACCTTGCAGAAAACCTTTTCCTTCTAAGCAGGGCTACACAATGACCCTATAGTGTGTGGGTGTTCCTGGCGAGTTGTGATGAGTAGAATTAGACTAGCCAATACTATTTTGAAGTTCATATATGAAAATACCAACTTGCCTATGTGCACGTCTCCGCCGCGGCGGCCCGGAGGCGGCCCGGCGGAGCGGTCAGAGCAGCACTGCGCGGGCCGGCGATCGACTCTCGACTATAGTACGGGCTCTATTGAATGGCCTCAAGGTGCTCTCTAGGGCTGCCCTATTCCGCTCGCCCGGCTACGTCGCCGGGCTTCGAAGGAAAAGGTTTCGCTCGGCACGGCGTCGGAGAGCAAACTTCGACGTTCGTCCTATAGTGGAAGCTGGACGCACGTAGGCAAGTGGCCCATGACCAGGCGGGCTGCTGCTCAGAATCTGGGCCGTCGGCGCTCGCTCTCGCGCTCTTCATAACGGCGTTGCCCCCTCCCTCCCGCGCCGACGTTGGGCAGCCCGACCACGACAACGTCAGCGCCGCTGGCCTGCAACTCGAGGCGCCTTTGAATGAGCACGAGCCGGTGCGCGGCGGCGGCGCGGGTGATGCAGCCCAAGGTGACGGCGACGGCAGAGGGGGCGGCGCCGGCGGCGGAGGAGGCGGCAGCGGCGGCGATGGCCGCGGGGCCGGCCCGCCCGCCTTTGCTGCTGGTGCTGTGGGCATCATCACAGCTCAGCGGCGGTGTGCGACCAGGGCCAGTGGTAGACTTTCGACGCGGTGAGGCTGCTCTCTGAGCAATGACACTAGCAAGAGCATCATGTGTGTCATCGGAGTCACTTGTATTACGATACCACCACGCCGCCACGCTCGCAAGGGCCGCCTAAGCGCCTAAGCACCCTAAGCACCCCCCCGCTTAGGCCGCTTAGGCGCTTAGGCGAGTGACGGCCGGCTGCCCGGGGCCTGGCGTGCCTCCGCCGTGGGCTGAGCGCCCGGGAGAGCCACTCTGCAAGTGGTGTGCGAGCGTGTAGCCTTTAGCGTGCAGTCGGCCATTATATATTAAATCTCAAGAATTCTCTGTGAATATAGATTCTCATTGAGTGTACTAACCCCTGTAGGACATATCCACACTTTACACACACATTGAGTCCTTTCACAGCAGCAGTTCTCATGGCAGACACGGGTGACACGGGTGACACGGGTGACACGGCACTTTTTTGAGATTCGAGAAATTCGCAAAAAAATTCCGCAAACTTGCAAGTTTGCGGAAAAAAATCAATCTGCCAGAAAGTTTTTTGAGGGACCCGTGTCGCGTGTCGCCGTGTCAGAAAAAATATTTTTTTTCTCCCTGACTCCCTCCCTCCCCCCTCCCCCCGCACCCCCCTCCCTCCCTCCCCCCGCACCCCCCTCCCTCCCACCCCGTCGGGTCTGTCAAACGTGCAAGTTAGAGAGGACAAAAAAAGAAAAGAAAAATTACCACCGACCAAACCCCTCTCCCTCCCTCCCCAATACCCCCACCCACCCTCCCCAGTAACCCGGAGGCTTGAAGCGGCCTCCACCCCCCCCTGGAACCAAAATCCGAATCTCTTTGTCTAACCCCCTAAACAAATAAAAGTACGGCGCTCCGGAACCGCAGGTTTTGAGCGCCGGTACCGGCATTTGCCCGGTACCGCCCAAGCGAGGTACCGGTCGAGAGAGAGATGTCAGCGGCGGCCCAGGATGACAGAATTGGCCTTCGCCAGACTGAGGACTATTGTGCGCCTCGGCGAGGCGGTTCCGGACATCCCGATTCCGAGCGCGGTGGACTTCATCTTGCCGGTCAACTGCCGGCGGTCGACAGCTGCTCGGCCGAGCAGCGTCGGGTACCGCCGGCAAGATGAACTCACCTGAAGCTGAGCCGCGGCATGCGGGGCGGCACGCCGCTGCTCGAACGGCAGT